ACCAGGCCTTTAGCACATGCACCTTTTGGAAACACTCATCCAACTCAGAACTCCCTATCTTAGTGTAGTTTCTTCTTTTTTTTTTTGTAGAAGTGAAGTAGTATGTCTTGTAGAATTTCTGCTTTTGATGTGTGCGCCCTCTGAGGTATTTGTAGGGTTTCCTTTGCCCCTTGTATTGATGTAGAATAATAGATCTGGAGTTTGGTATGTTCGAGTGGCGAGGGAGGGAGGAAGCCTTGTGCGTTCTGTGCACCTCCGCTGGGAGCTGCACTGTGTCTGACGAGCTATACGCAGTTAAGGCACTTTCTGATACCTCTTACATTTCTGCAAGCCATTTGGTTCTTCAGGGTTGAAATTAGGAAAAACGAGATGATTCAGTTCTTAGCTTTTATGTACTAATTTCCAAGTGAGCATTCTGCAAGAGTAAAATTGGTTTATGGAATATTTTAAAATAGTGAAAGTAAATATTGGTTGTTTTGTTTATCCATTGTAGCTATTGATGGGCAGACTGGGCCAATGTTCTTGTTGGCTTTTGAGAACATTTGATGTGATTTTAGTTGTCTTTGGCAACTTTTATGATTGGATCTTGCATTTTGGTCATGGCGTGAGACAAGACTCTAGTAGTTTCTATTACTTCCCTCAATACCAGTCACGTTCCAGTGTTGTTTGTGAACCATCTCTTCCTTTTTCACTGTCTTTTGTGGCATGTTTGCATGTGTGAAGATGTGGTATCGTGTGACCTCTTGCTTGTTCTCTTCTAAGCATTAAACAGCCTCTTCTGAGTGTTACACAGTGCAGGAAGAAGTGGAAGGTTAGGAAGACTGAATCAGATTGTTATGAAAAATTTATTGCTATATTGTTTTAAAGCCTTTTTTAAAAGATGTGTGTGTGTATTGTCTATTTACATGCAAGAAGAGAGAACTTCAAGGTTTGAACTGAAAACCATTGAATGAAGAGTCCATTACAAGATAGTGAGCCGGGTGCAGTGAAAGGGGAGTAAGAGTTCTCTTCTGCCCAGCATTCTGGAGCTGCCTTCCATCAGCTGGATGTGTCCATAAGCCAGCGGCAGGGACAGCCTGAGACAGCACTGAGAGCCAAGTCCAGGCCTAGAGCTGGTGGAGATGGCAGGAGCGTGGACTGGTGTGGGGAGGACGTGAGGTGACAGGCGCCTGTGCAGCAGTCATGCTGTCCCACTTGCGATTTCAAAAGGCTGCAGCCAGGTCCTTGACAACTGGTCACCTCTGAAGCTGCCAGTTTGGGCAAGGAATGGCCGCAGGTACCTTGTTAGTGGTAACAGTTGGAGGATTCCTCTTGCGAATGACAGTAAGACAATTGTATCTATCTGGCTTTGTGAATGTGTGCATGGTTGTTAGATTTGGACTTGGAAACAGGCTGAGTTCCTTTACTGGGGCCCTAGCATTCTAAGAGGGATGGTGCTAGGCAAGTTATTTCACTTCTCAGTCTGGGCTTCCATGCTTAAGCCCCTGGTGATATAACTGACCACAGGGGAGGATTTTGATACTGATTAAAAGCTCATCACTGCACAGGACTTACCTCAGTGCCTGGCTCTTTCTGTATACTGAATAGATGTTGATTTCTTGTTCTCTCACTTGTGCTTGTTTTAGTCCTTTGGGATTAATCCTGTCTCCCATCCTGTTTCTCATTAATCATGGCAGCAAGTAAGTGCCCCCTCTTCTGTACACTCCACTCATTTTCTAACTGATGGAGTAGGTAGTTTATTGTTTTGTTTTGTTTTGTCTCCTTTTTGAGACGGGGTTTCACTATGCAGTTCAAGTCCAAAAAAGTTTTGGTACCAGGAGTTGAACTCAGGACCTTGCACTTGCCAGGCAGGTGCTTGTGATGCTGAGCTATATCCCTGGCTCCTTGAACTCACTTTGTATCCCAGGCTGGCCTTGAACTTGCAGTGATCCTCAGTGATCCTCCTACTCAGCATCCCAAGTAGTGGGTTTAGAGGCATTTGTCACTATGCCAAATTTGAGAGTAGGTAGGTTTTTTTTTTTTTTTGGTACTAGGGATGGAACTTACCACCTTATGCTTACCAGGCAAGTGCTTGAGCCACTGAGCTAAATCCCTGGCCCTGAGAATAGTGTTAAAGATGGGTTTCATAATTCCAGATGCCTTTTCGTGTCAGCAGAGATCACAGATACTTGCTAGTGTTTTGTTTGTCTAATTACTAACACTTGCCCTAACATCATAATTAGTGTCCTGGGAAAATGGTTTTACTGTCCATTTTCAGTTGCTTAATTTTTTTTAAAATTTTATTTAAGGAGAAAAAGAAAAAAAATACAGAAAAAGGGTACAAGTTATACAGAATTTCAGAAAAAATAAACAGTAGGAAATCACTAATTACATATTGTCATCTTAGAAATAGTTGTTGAAGTTACAAAATTAAAGCATATAGAGGGGACTTTCAAACAGTGAGACTGCAAACAGTTTTGTTCAATGATCCAACAAAACTCAGTAATATGGTTATCTATCTTATACACTTAAATATATATGCAGTTATATCTTTTAGAGAACTTTCTTTTCTTTTGTACAATGACAATTACACATTTTGGGTTTTATTGCTCCCACAGTTCTTACTACTTTTTCTTTTTGAAGAAAGTAAAACCAAATGTGACATACCAGGACAGAGTCAGTCAAATCAAAAGGATGGACATAATACATAATGTAAAAACAAAATACAAGGTGATCAACAATGGTTACCATAATGCCTCTTGTTATCTTAAAAAGAATTGCCTATATCATCAGTTATAATAAAATTGAACAAAACAGTAAAGAATAAGACCAATAAAACCAAAACATTGGCGACATTAGAGGACTTCAAAAGAAGATAATAGTCAACCAGAATGGGCGTCACAATAAGGAAAATCAGTCAAAACCAGATGGTGAGAGCAATACAGAGTTTCAAATCAAGTTAATAGGAAATCAAAGTGGGTTACTGTAATATATCCTGCTATTTTTTATTTTTCCCTTAATTAAAAGGATAAAAATGAAAAAGTAGATAATGAAAAGGAGATTGAGATAAAAAAAGAAGGCATAACAACAAAACAGCGCAGATCAAAACATAGCCATTTAAGCAAAATAGTGTTTCACCACAAGATAATCTCGACATAATAGTAGTTACCATAGTGTCTCTTAATTTGATAGAATATAGACTGTGCTTATCTTCAAAGAGGTGCATGTGTGTTTTGGGTCATCTAGAATCTAATTCTTAACTAGAGTGATTAACCTCACAGCAAGTTTCCCCCTCTCCTGGAGGACAGTTGCAGTATCAAAGATAGAAACACTGTCTGATAGACACTCAATAGTTTAAATATGTGGGAAAGAATGGTGTATTTCTTTCAAAGCTGTCCTGCACAAGTCTGGAAAGGATTGTTTTTCAACGGCTGTGAAGTTTTGTCCTCTGTCTGTCTGTCTTTCCGTCAGTTGTATGTTTTGTTGTTATTTTCCTCTATAAGATGAGGTTCTCTTGTTTGTTGTTATACAGTTGTGTTTTATTCATAAAATAAAAAATTGAGGGTACAAGGCTTATTTGCAAGTTTAATTTAAAATAGCTAAGAAACTTAGTGCATTAAATAACTTTTTTGTTGTTTCTAGTTATAGAAACTATTATATAGAAGTGTTGTAACTCCATATATACATTCCTCGAAATCTGAGTATTCTGTTTTTTTGAGTAAACAGTCTTAGTGCTGATCTCTCAGAACCAATAGAATTTTATTGATTGATCGATTGTCTTTTGCAGGACAGTCTTGCTATGCAGTTTGTCTTTTTTTTTTTTTTTTTTTGTACTAGGAATCGAACTCTCAACCTCATACTTGCCAGGCCACTTATGCTGCTGAGTTAAATTCCCAGCCCTGCTATGTAGTTCAGACTAGCCTTGAACTCATTTTGTAGTCCAGGCTGGCTTCAAACTCACAGTATTCCTCCTGCTTTAGCCTCCCAAGTGCTGGCATTATAGGTGTGCACCACCATGCCCAGCAAAACCTACAGACTTATAAGTAAGCCTGTTATGTTATGTTATATTATGTTATGTTATGTTATGTTATGTTATGGTGAGACAAAACAGGCTATGGTTCAGGCTGGCCTTGAACTTATTCTGTAGCCCAGGCTGGTCACGTAGGTGTATGCCATAATGCCCAGTTTACAGCCTTTATTTTAAAAAGAGGAATACTTCTGGTGAGGATATTGGTGCAGATCAGTCTCTGTGAACATTTGCACTTAGAATCATTAGTCCATTTGTGTATATATATATATATATATATATATATATATATTTTTTTTTTTTTTTTTTTTTCTGTATGCTGGTCTGTGAAGATGTTTGCTTCTAAGAAATTGGATTCTCCAGAAATAAAGACATAATCCAGTGGTAGGCATTTTCCTCCATCAAAAAATCTGGAAATGACTACCTTTTTGATTCACTTAAAGGGTCCTGCTTTGTGTGGGCCCTTCTCCCAGTCAACTTGGAAGGGAAATATGCTAGGAAATGTTTCAGATGATCACTGTGACTTCATGATATCTAAAGATAATTCTCTTAGTTACTGTGATTTAATTTTATAGCCTCATTATAGTTTAAATATTTTTAATATGTTTAGTTTTTGACAGTTTGATGAATGCCACATGATCTCTGGTTTTTGATGAATATTTAAGCTCTTTTATTTCGTCAGAAATTTTTAAAGATAGAAAGTTTAGATATTGTTTCTAATATAGTGTCTTGTTTTACAGGTAAAAGAGATGCAGATCTGCTACTGAAGTACAAAATTTAAAAAGTTTAGTCAGTTATTTCCTGTATCTTGTCTTTTTTACCTAAAAGAATGTTCCTTGTATATTTAAAAATACCATTCACTATTAATAAAGTAAAAGAAAGTATATCATTTCACATTAAAACCTCCAAGTTCCAGAGCCCCTGTTAAATTTCTATGTAACTCACAGAATTTCCAGTATTACAGGAATAATACTTTGATGTTTCCTTTTCTTAGTGAACTTGAAGATGATTTACTTGGAGAAGATTTGCTATCTGGCAAAAAGGTAAGAAAATATAGGTATTTCTGAAACAAAGCAGTAACTATTTAATGTTACTTAAAATACAGGAACACTTTGATGCATGGATACATGACTGGAAAGTGGGTAAAGATCAGCATTTTGTAAACAGTTGTGTTTTGGTTCTGTCAGAACCAGTACTTCATCATGTTAAGCACTGTGTGTCTCCCCCTCACCCTCAGTTGCAAGGCATCTGGTCTTCTGCACTGGCTCCTTTGAGGACCCTGCCCTGGCTCACTGCCTATAATATTTCTAACTAACTCAGCTGCCTGTAACAATATCAGTGCTTAGTTTTAAAAACTACTGAAATTGTGGTGACTTCTTACTCTCACCAGTTACCCTGAAGTTCGTTGCACTTTTAGGTTAAGATTCACTGGTATACTAGTGGTATAAGTATTTCAGATAGTGTGGTAGATTCACGTTTTTCCATCTAGATCATCACATCTGATTAGATGACTCTTTAAATCTTCTTTGTAATTCTGTTAAGATTTTGTATTAGAAGTACTAGTTGTGTAGTTTTCGTATAGCTTATGTTACTTTTAGCATTTTCTCTAATAATGTGGATTTCAGTTAGACTTCTTTCAAGTGAGTTTTTCTTTCTGTGTTCTGCTGCTTACTGATGATTCATTACCTGTGGCCTGTCTGTGGACTGCCACTTTCCCCCTTTTCAGCAAAGGAATGCTGAGGGTATAAGGGAACCGTGTCCAAGGAGCAGCTACTTAAACATCATTACATGCTACATGGTCACTGAGTTTTGGTTCACTGGGTTGGTTTTTTTTTTTTTATTTATTTAAATTCTTATAAGTTTAACTAAAGGGCTAAGACCTACAGAGTCAGAGGCGTAGCTAGCATGTGCCAAGCCACTGCCCAGAAAGAAAAATTTATGTTGCAGTGCCATTGATAAGTGGGATCTCTTGGTTCATTTTTGGCTATCAGAAATATGTAATGAAGAATGAAGAATATATAGTGAAATTTGAGAAACTTATTTTTGTGAGATAGAGATTAAATAGAAAAGCTAATTTTTCAGTCTTCACTTTTTTTTTGGTACCGGGGATTGAACTCTTGACCTTGTGCTTGCCAGGCAGGCACTTATGCTGCTGAGCTAAATACCTGTCCCTCCCCCGCTTTTTTTTTTTTGAATCAGGGTTTTACTATGTACTTTAGGCTAGCATTGAACTCACTTTGTAGCGTAGGCTGGCCTCTACTAGCAGTATTCCTCCTGCCTCAGCCTCCAAGTGCTGGGATTGTAGGCTTGCTCCACCATGCCTAGCCCTCAATTTTCACTTTTTAAAAAATAAATGTGTATGTGAGCATATATGTGACTTTGACTTTTGGAGGATAGTTATTAATTTATAGATGCCTTTTACACATGTGAACAATTTTAATAGGAGAGGAAAGTGAGATTTTACTCTTCATTTTAAAATATTGAGGCATATTTAACTCAACAAAATTGAGAGCTGTTTACTGAATCCCTAGACTTCCTTGCCTGCTGAGGGGATGAGTTCACCACACCATCAGGACTGAGAAGAGTGAGCTTGGGGAGTTACTTTCCATTGTGATCTGTAGTGGATAGACAGGCCCTGCCATTTCAGTTGGGTGATCAAGTTACCTTAAAAACTCTTTTTCTCTCGCTCTCTCACTCTCGCTGTGTCTCTGTCTGTCTTTCTTTGTCTTTGAGACAGGGTCTCGTTGTACATGTTAGGCTGGCCACTGGGCTCACTTTGTAGCCCAGGCTGGTGTTGAGCTTGCAGCGATCCTCTAGCCTCAGCCTCTCGAGTGCTGGGATTACAGACATGTGCCACCATGCCTAACTTAAAGTTGTATTTCTATATTGCTTTAAATATCTTCAAATATTAGATACTAACTGTTAAATTTAGTTGTATCTGAAAGATACCTTTTTTGTTTATGGTAAGGAAAGATTGTTTGAAAGTCTTCACCCAAGGATCTCTTACCCTTTTTCCTTTTGTGTTAGAATTAGAATAAAACTGACCATTACACTTAACCACTGCCATACTTCCTCATGTGTAGCAGCTAAACATTAGTCCAAAGAAGGAAGCCATATGTGTGATTCTTGATTGTCCATAGTGATATAAAACTGAAAAATGTCTGGATGATGAATGTCTCACATAAGGCTTGAAACAGTCCATTTAACATAATTTGATACCTTTGTAACATCTTTTTATGAAAGTGACATGCATTAATTAGATTTTTTATTTCAATTAGAATCAGTCAGATTTGTCAGATGAAGAACTAAATGATGACCTTTTACAGAGTGATAATGAAGATGAAGAAAATTTCAGGTACTAAATATTAATTCATTAAAAATGTTCTTTAAATTAATAGGAGCTGTTTGTAAGTTATAATTAATAGTCAGTTGTAATTGAATAATGTGCTGGTGTATCTTTTAACATTTGGCCACATCCTAAATGACTTATTTTGTATTCTGCTACAGAATCCATATGTATTGCAGTGGAGATAGATCTGCTCCTTAAAATTGGTACCGGCCTTGAATTTGATGACTTTTCAGTTCATGCAGTGCAAGTCCTAAAAACTGAGTACTGTTTCACACTACTGTTTAAAGAATTACTTTCTCCTTAGATGAAGGAGAGTGTCCTTAGACTTTTACTGCAGGTTTATATTGGTACCTTTGTTTCTATTTAGACAATTTATATTAATACATGTTCATGTGTAAATCACTGTTTTGGAAGGAGATACTTAGTATAATATCCTGGAAAATGAAAATAATTTTCCCGTTTTATAAGGAAACTTTGGCAAAATGTTTAATACTTCTTAGTTATAAATGAATTAATAAATGCATGTTAGATAGTCTTGAGTAACAGGTTTTTAAAAACTAGTTTATGAGGGCTAGGGATTTAGCTCAGTGGCATAAGCGCTTGCCTTGCAAGTGTGCAGTCCTGAGTTCGATCCCTGGTACCGATGAAAAAACGAAAAAGACAAAAAAAAAAAAAAAAGGAAAAACTAATTTATGGGTGAAAATAGTTAAATTATTCTACCAGTTACATATACTTCCTTATCACAGTATTTGATTTCATTATTATAATTTGATATTTTAAGTAAGGTTGGCCTTGATGTGTATCTTTTTAGCCAGGGGTTTGAACTCTTATGTTATATCTTCAACTTTTTGTTAGGATTGGATACTTAATATGTGTGAACATAGACTTACTTGCATATTTCTGCATTTGAAATGCTGCACCTGTTTGTTTAGTATTTAACTATGATTTATCAGTGGAATATGGTTTTTTGAAGTGGTAAAATCCTATTATTTCTCTTGAAAATTACCAATTATATTTTAGAGAAATTTGTGACTAGTATACATTTTAATTATTTGATCAAGGGGTTTTCCATATATATTTTTAATATTTTATTGTCTTGTTAAAAGGAATCTAACTTTGCTTTATATAGATTAATAAAGAAACCATTGTTCTTAAAATTCCAATTATGATTTTCTGCTTATAGAGCAGTACTCTTGTGTTTAATATAGACATTCCTAGCAACAGAGTCCATCAATTCATGCTGTGGATTAGAATAAAACATAAAATGCTTTGTTTCAGTCTTAGATTTCTGCCAGTCAGACTTTTCCCACTGGACTGATGATGCTTTGGCCAGATAACCTTCAGCCAAGAAGTAAAGTGGAGGCTCTGCCCTCACCAGAGTCTTGGGCATGGACTCAGTGCACTGTACTCTGTTGCCTGGATTCCATGCTTTTGGCATTGGCTCAGTGTTGCACTTTGAGCCTTGTTTTCACTCCTTGTTGGAGCAAAATGGCGTGGATCAATAGCTGGAATAACCTCACCAGTCCTAATTGAAGTTTTTGTTACAGCGTGTTTACAGTAGTACACTGAAAAATGATCTATTGTTGAGCTCCATGTTCAGTGGGTGTCTCTGTATTTTGTCTTCTCCAGTTCTCAGGATGTTACAATCAGTCTCAATACCACCTCTGGTATGGTTACATCGTTTGAACTTTCTGACAACACTAATGACCAGTCTGGAGAGCAGGAATCTGAATATGAACAAGGCGAGGAGGAGCTAGCTTACCACAAACCTGATGGTGCAGAATTGTATACTCAGGAGTACCCAGAGGAAGGACAGTATGAAGGCCACGACACAGAGCTGACTGAAGACCAAATAGAATATGGGGAAGAGCCAGAGGAGGAGCAGCTGTACAGTGATGAAGTGCTGGACATTGAGATCAATGAGCCTTTAGATGAATTTACAGTGAGTCTTTTGTTCTTTGTATGGCCAGAGATAACATGGCTTCCTGTGCACAGGTTTCTAGACTGATTTGAAATCTGTTTACCTCCCTTGGGAAGGAGGGAAATTAGACCTTATTATCACTGTCTGCCAGTTTCTTTATCTAAGCTATGACAAAGTTTATGTTGACAGCTTGTTTGGCCAGAGGTAATGCGCCTTTGTCACTCTGGAAGGCTGGGAAGAATGGTGACCTTGAGGATTGCACCCTAAGGAAGAAAACAGCTTTGTGTGGTGGAGATACACTGTCAGTTGTTAGAAGTACTTAATGCAGGGCTTTTATCCAGGCTTTAGACAAGATCTGATAAAGTCCTTCTAAGGTGAAAAGATTATTGACCTGCTAAAGACATCTTTAAGGTGCTAATATTCTAAAGTGATTGATGTCCTGTTCATTCATCCTTTTTGTAACTGAGAACTGTCTAAACCTGAATAAAGAGATTGGAGGTTAGTTGGGAAATGTCACACACAATTTGTTATCTGTAATCAAGAAGTAAAGATTGTGCTGATTTTTGTTTTGGAAAGATGGTTTTGGAAGATAGTATTTCTTTTTCCTGTTTAAAGTTCAACCATAAGGAAGAACAAGTAATATTTTCATGTGTTGCAATGATGCATCATCAAAAGAGATGTGTTTTTTAAAATAAGCACTGAGTGGGTAATTGTGCAGCTGTTGTGTAGAGCACTAGGGCCTTCAGAGCAGCAGGACCTGGTGAGGTAGGATGGAAACATGTCTGGTGCAGTTTGGTGCTCAGAGAGCCCATGTGACGCAGGAGTGGCTCTTTATCTGTCGATAGCTTCATTCCAGGAAAACATTTAAAAATTACTGAATTTTGGTTCCGTGTGTGTGTGTGTGTGTGTGTGTGTGTGTGTGTGTTAGAGAAAGAGAGAGATCTGCAACGAATGGTTTATGTGGAACTTTAAGATATTTAATTCCAGTCATGATTGTGTTTAGATTTGATTCTTTCTGAGTACTTGATCTTGAGTTGATAAAGCGATGGAATCTGTGGTTTTGTAAGTAGGGTCTTACAAAGGCCTTGTGAAGATTGGTACCTCCACAGCCTAATGACATATTTCAGTAATTTCTCACTAGGTGAACAAGTGCCTTTTTGGTGTGTTTGTGTATTTTCTCCCATCCAAGTACTAACCAGGCGTGACCCTGCTTAGCTTCCGAGATCAGACGAGATGGGGCGCGTTCAGGGTGTTATGGTCGTAGACGTTTGTGTATTTTCTTAAAGTAGCACATTATATTTAAAATGCCTTGTAAAGATTAAATCAAGATCTTTGAAAACTTTGCCTAGATATTTCTTAAGAGTATTATTTCTCCTGTGCATCAGGGAAATAACAAAAGTTAATCATCTCTGAGTAAGTTCACTGATGTGGTGTGTCTTTACTGACGTGTCGATCACTAAGCACACAGATATTACTAAGCCATAAGAAACCTGAACCTTGGGTCCTGCTCCTGAAGCTTGGCTCTAGTGGACAGACCTCTGCTTGGAACGAGAGAGTGTGTGGCCACATAGGAGTGCCCTTCATGTTGCGTTCTTGCAGTGTTGTGGAGAATTTCTAGTCAGTGAATTCACCCAGCTGTATATTGTTACACTTGTGGTTACACAAAGGCTCTGGATTGAAAGGCATCCTAATCATTAAGCATGAGATCTAGGTACTGAAAGAAGAAAGATGTGGCAATTTAAAAATACTCATAGGAGTCTGCCACATTAAAGAGAATTAATTTTTTTCCAGAATTAAGCCAGAATCCAAAGTAAAAATGTATGTAGAAATTCTGAAAGTAACAAGATCCTTAAGTCTGAGTTTTGCAGGTGCAAAACTCTTTACTCTTGAGAGTAAACTGCAATTTTATTTTAAAACTTACCCTCTTATAATAAGGTGTCTGTATTACTACTTAGTCTATAAAATATTAAAAATTTTATTTTAAAACTTACCCTCTTATAAGAGGCCTCTGTATTACTAGTCTATAAAATATTAAAAAGTTATTTGTTGGTGGCGTATTTTTACATGCAGTTACTGTATTTAGGCCTACAAAAATGACCATACGTTGAGAGTTCATAAATGCCCTTTCAGCTTGACAGTTTATGTGAAGAGTAGCAGGTTGCTGTTTTCTGGGGAGAGTCAGTGGTGTAGACTATACCGTAGTGTACATTTGCTGAAGTTTTGATAAGATGCTCTGGCTACCTTTGAAGTTTGACTGTTCTGCTGCTAGTGAGCCGAGGGTTATGGAATTGGATTTTGTCATAGGGTGCTCACAGTTCTTCAGCACAGTCGCAGGCAGTGTGCTTTTCCCATGTTGAGGTGAGGCAGTTGTGGAAGCGGAGGTGGTTTGCCCAGTTGCTTTCGTTGGTGCACAGACAGACAGTCACACACTATGCAGTTAACTATTAGCTCTGCAGTAAACTCTTTTGGGTTTCCTGCTTTGTGAGTGCTTGCCAGCTTAGTAACAGCCACTTGTGTTGAATTGAGTTGTCCATAGTTGTGTTTCCATTGCCTTAAAATTGGTGAGAACTGGTAAAGATTTCAGTCCCTCCTGCTGCCAGGCTCCTCTGAGAATGAGCATGTTTCTTCAGATTGCTTTTTCTGGGGTTGATTTGAAGAAGAGCTACTTTTAACAGCATGGCTCTGAAGCACAGCCCAGGCATTGAGGCATTAACCTTAGCATGTTGTGCATAGCTCCCACTATGTGTAGAGGCAGTGCTTAGCGCCCTGTGCTTGTTCTGGTTGTTGCCATCATAAAACTTGCTAAAAGCATGAGCCACAAAGATGAAAAGTGCTTCAACAACACCAAAAGCTGTTTTCTCTTTAATGGTTGTTAGGATGAAGAATACTTGCAGGCTTATGGTGGGCAACAGGGGCTGCAAGAGCAGGAAGAATGTGTTGCTGAAGATGGATTAGATGAGCTTACTGGTTCCCATATTGCTCCTGAGACAAAAGAGGTATTCATTCAACTTTTAAAAAGAGTAAAAAAATTTGCTGGTTTTTTCCCTCCAGCTTTAAAATTAGCATATTTTTAGCGTTAGTGAAAAGTTGAGACATATTTTTGATGAGTGTAGTAAAACCCCGACTTCTTAGACCCCTTAGCAAAGTGAGTTCTGCCATACTGGTTTCCAGATAGTGTGTGCCTTTTGAGTGTTGGTGTTTTGAATGGTTTTTGGTGTTATCTCAAAAATGTGATGTGTAGGTTAGTACTTCTAATTAGTTAATATTCTTTAATTTGAACTGTTAAGTCAAAAATATCTCAGGGTTCCTATATGTAGGCCTTAGGTGTTGAGGAAACGGTGAGGATAAGGCTTGGTTTCTGACTTCAAGGTACTTGGAAAGATGCTTGCAAATTCTTGTGGTGCAGAAGAAAAAGTGACAGTTCCTGAAGAGTCTCAGACACTGAGGAGTTCCTGAGGGCCTGTGTGGAAGAGGTGGCCCTCTGAAGACATCTCACAGATGGGCAGATCTGGGTGGGCCTAGAGTATGTTGCAGCTCTCTTGTCCCCCAGAGCTGGTGCTGTGGCCAAGTTATTTAGGCTACAAACCGTTCTCTTGTCCAGGGATTTACTGATTTTCTTCAACATTTTTATTTTTAGTGTTTTTTACCCTTCAGTTTTCCTTAATGATACTTCCCTATTTTTTTAAAAGAGATAATAAAAAGTGATAATACTGGCTTAACCATTTATTTACTTCAGATGTTACACCAAGGCCTTAGAAGTTCAGCCCACAGAGCATTTTGTTCACCTGTCCTTTTTCCCAGCCCCTGAACTTGCATGTTGGGTCCACAACAGGAACATTTCCTAGACATACACTTTCTTCATTCCCACAAACTAAATTTGATTTCCCTTTTTGTCTATCTCTATTCAAAACTTGTAGTGTAAATATGAGAGATATAACTAGTAGTACAGGGACTTTTCACCCAGATCTCCAATTGTAGGAAAATGTATCTAGATCAGGGAACCAAATCCAAAGCCAAAGGAGATGTTAAAAGCTTGGGGAGATCAGAGACCAGGGAAAAGTGGCTCCCCATCAAATTCTGTAGCAGTCTCCCTAGTACAAAGCTCAATCAAACCTGTAAAGTTAGAGTAATTTATACAAGTATACCTGAGAAGGAAATTGAGAAGTTAAAGGAGAAGGCTTCCAAAGAGATCCTCTCTAGTGGTAAATAGATGAGAAAGGGAAACCTAGGAATTCACAGTCCATTAATTTCATGTTGTTTTTCTTAGATTATTGGTATTTTGAAGTTGGAATATTAATTTCATTGATTTGAGAATTTTCACCTGTTGCTGGCAAATACAATTTATTAGTCAGGTGTAGGAGAAGATGTTGGAAATATTCTTAGGAGACACTTTCTATGGATTCTTTAGGTTTCTGCATATTTTACCTGCTTGACCTTTGTTGTGGAAGCTCTCTCTGTTCAAGAACATTAATATAGCCAGTGGCCTTGAGAGACTTAGCTTTTCTTCCTGTGGAGCCAGGACAGTTGTTCTCGCTGCTTTTTGTGACAGATCCGGGTTCTCTGAGCCCAGAATGCAAAGTCACTCCAGGAGCACAGCTCCCTTAGAGCCAGATCTTGTAGCCCAGTGGGAATGGGGCCTCAGATCACTGGCATTCAGTGCTGCTCAGTGTCGTTAGTAATGATCTGTCCTAGTCTGACCAGGGACCCCATCTTCTCACAACCTGTAGGAAATGTGACAGGGTGACGTCTTAGATTGCAAGAAGAGAAAGATGAGAGCTTTTACTCTCCTTGTCAGTGTCCTTTGACTTACCAATTCCATTTTAATGAGTGTATCCAAAGGAATTATTCTAAATGGCTTCAAAGATGTGTGCACCAAGTGTTTAGTTACAGGACTGAAGTAAATGGAACCAGGGTAACTTTTTATAAAGGGTTAAGCACAGTGGAAAATGCTATACCTCTGGTGCCTTAGCTTCCTAACATGGAATGATGCTTGTGATAAATTAATTGGAAAAAAACCAAGATAATATTTCTTCTCTTCAGCTCTACCCCTACACATTTAAATGTGTATGTTAATCTCAAAAAAAGTCTGAATAAATGTAGTAGCAATTGTAATTGCCTTTAGATGATAGAATTATTTTATATATCCTAGTACTTTCTTGTTTAAAAAAAGTTTGCTATTAAAATTAACTTAGAGGGTAAAGGAATTTTTTCTTTTAGAATATGAAGAAAAGGAAATACAAGGTGACTAAAATTTAATGCTTTCATTTTGAAGGTAAAGAATTAGAGGCCACATGGGTTGAACTCCTATGATTTCTTATTTAACTCTCTTGCCTGGAAATATTGTCATTATTTTTCTTTTTAAACTGTATGTCTCACAGACATACAGTTTAAAATTTTAATTTTAATTTTAGTAAATAGGATATTTTAAAAAGTTACTTACTTTATCTTTTTTCCTTGGTGGTTGATTTAACTTCTTTATGCACTTTTTGCTCAGATGGTGTGTGCGAGTACAGTACTAGGGAATGAAACTCAGGGTCTCAGATATGCTAGGCAGGCACTCAATCTCAGAGCTTCTCAGCAGCTCATAGGCCTTCACTGGCTCTTACTTGGAGGCAGGTGTGTTGATTTTCTTCCAGCAACACATATTTTAAGCTTGTTTTCTTAATTCACTGAATGTTAGTCAGCCAAAAAGATAATGACTGGGGACTCCAGTGCTGAGAAGCAGGTGTTGCTTTCCTACAGCATTTCAACAGTGTTTGTAGGCACTGGTTTTGGTGGGCATCCTCGTTGTCGAGTAAGATGCCATATATAACCGGGGTTTGGTGTTTTCTAGTTCTTTGACCCATCTCCTTAAACACCTGTTGTTGAGGAACATCTGGTTCTGCTGTCCCATGTGGCAGCATCCCTGCTCTGTCTTGAATATGAAAGAGGGAGAAAATATGTTGGAGTTTTCAAATGATTTTGGTCTAGGAACTCTTGAGGTCTGTAGGAGAAACTACTCTGTAGCTGAAAGACACAGAATTAATTCACTTGAATTGAAAGTCTTCTTCAGCCCCTTACCCCAGAGCGTTGAACAAGCACACCCAGCCCGAAGAGACATCCCCAGCCCTTTTTATGCTGAAACAGGCTCCGGCCTGCTTGCCCATGTTGGCCTGGAACTTGTACTCTGCCTCATCCTCTTGTGCAGCTGGGTTTACAGGCATGTGACATCAGGTGGCTCTTTTTATTTAATATTCTTGCTTGATTAATATAAAGAAACCACTGTACTTGAGACAAGTTAAATCAAATTATGAAGACTACCTTTTCTAATTATATAGCTGCATTAGTGTCAGGTACGTTACTTTCTTACGTAGTTTAAAAGGCTTGCTAAATTAGATAGTTTGGACATATATAGAAGAAACAAAAGAGGTATAAAAATCATAAAATACACCACTTAAAATGCTTTTAACATTGTGGTATTATTGATACTCAGGTGTAGGTCATTTGGGTCTCAGGAGTTACAGTAAATTTTGGGGATATGCATGCATATTCCATATACACTCTCTTTCAACTGATAAAGTTCCTTCTTTTTCCTTAGTCCTGACCTTTCAGAGGGAGCTCTAATCTTACTTCTCCAGCCCTGGATTGATCTTCCCTATTTTAAATTTCATGTAATCATAGCATGTCCTCTTGTGTCTACCTTTTTTGCTCCACATGCTTTTGAAATTCATTCATGTAGATACATAGGTATAATTGCTAGTTTATTTCATTCTACTTATTTCATTTTTCTGGTGTTAAATATTCAGATTGTTTTCAGTGTTTTTGTTACTATGATTTAATGAATTACAAAGGTTATATTGCTCATTTTTTGCATATATATGTGTATTTTTTTGTGGATATATTTTTGCTTCTCTAGTATTTGATGGTAGAATTGCTGAGACAGGAAGCAATAAGAAATTTTCAGATTTTTTTCCAGTACGAGCATTATTTTATACTCAGGAGAGTTCTCCTATATTTGATTTCTATCATTTGATCGTGTCAATTTCTTTGTTTAATTCTTTGAATGGGTAAATTAATTAATGTTTCAGGCTTTATTTTTCTAATGACTAACGATGTCAAGCAGATCTGTATACATAATATGATTAAACATACAATGAATGTTTAAATAAAAATTTATTACTGTAAAAGACCCCCTCACTTGAAACACACTTGTGCCTATCATTCTTGCCACTTTTGGAAGCAGTTCTGGAAGTCTTTTTCTGAGTGTCTTCAGTTGCACTATCTTGGCTGACTCAATGTCCTGAATTGATTCAAAACGTTTATCTTCCATGGTCATTTTGACTTTAGCTAAGAGCCAGAAGACACAGGATGCTGTAATAAGGTGTATGAGGACATACCTTTTGGTTTTTTTTTGGTGCTGGGGATCGAACTCATGACTTCGCGCTTTGAAAATACACCATGTTTACTGCATAAAAATAGCTATATTGGAAGCAGTGTGTGACACGGAGTGTAGTCATGATGAAGGATGTAAGTGCCCATTTCTCAGGTTGTTTTCTACATATTTCTTAAATGCTCTAATAGACCTTTTATTTGGAGTTTCATCACTATTTGTGTTGCACAGTTTCCTTCCAGATGGATTGCTTTATAGTGCTTGTGTTGAATCCATTGCCAATTTACATACCAGTCTTTTTTTAAGATGTCCTTTCTGTTTGGTGGTTTTATTTTTATAGCTTTACTCCAGCACTACACAATCAGAATTACTGTAACATAAAATCAGGCAGTGTAAATCTATTAATTTTATTCTTTCCCTTTCAAAGGGTATTTTAGATATTCTCGGTTCATTGAATTTCTACATAAAGTCTGGAATGTATTTATATAAAAAATTTGGTTGGAGTATATGTAGCTGCAAAGAAATAAAGTTTTTCCTGGAAAAAAAATCTGGTTGGAGTTTTGATGGAGAAGGAATTGTATCTTTAGATCAAATTGGGGAGACCGATGTCTTAATAATGATTGTTACCTGTTAATAAAGACCATTGTAATCATTTATAATAATTATAATTAGTTATAATCCTTCTCTCCTTCCCACCTTGCCTTCCTCCACCTTATGGACTCCAGTGCCAGTGCTATGTACCAAAAGGCAGGTGTTCTTGCCTTGTTTTTGTGTTAAGGGGAAGATGTTCAGTAAAAATTTCATCCTTAAATATACTACCTGGAAGTTTTGTAATCGGATTGAAGGAATTCTTTTCTGTTTCTTGTTTGCTGAGATTTTTTTTAAAGGGGTAAATTTTGTCAATGCTTTTTCTGTATGTATTAATGTTCTTATCCCTTATTTTATTAGTATGAATTAAATTTCTGACAACTATAATCTAGACTATTTCCGTTTTGCCAGTTTTTCAGCCTACCACATCGTTGTCCTATCTCTCCTTTGTCTTCTATTCTGTCTCGGTTTTTCCTTTTACTCATGACCTTGAAGGTACCTTGTGGAATACTTCCTGTATAGTTGGGTTTTTCTCACGATTCAACTGAAGCTAGGGCTTTTGGAAAGAATGGCCCAGAACTGAAGTTTCCTTCTGTCATCCTTCCATTGGGCTCATGTTATCCATGCTGCATAGTGGAGGTCTTCATCCTGCTGTTGTTACTCTGTCTGTCCCTTAGTCTGTTCTAAGTCTAGACTGCCCTCCAGGAGGGTGAGGGAAGGGATTTAGCTCCACCTTCTGGAGAAGGAGGAGAATCTACACGTATTTGGCTCTGGGTAAGATTTGTTAAATTGAGTTTGAATAATAACCTTGTGTTTTTAGGTACACTCCACTTGGTTGTGATTTATTACTTTATTTATATTTTGCTGAATTTCATATGCTTTTCCAAAGGAGCTTTGTGTTTGTATGAAGGATACTGATCTGTATAGTACTGTATCTGAAAGTCCACTGAGTCATTCTAATTAACCTATAAACAAGTATTAGAAACTTGGAAGCAGTCTTTTCTACTGATTCAGATTTTGTTTTCCTATTTCATAGATTTTACCCATCGTTTCTGTTCAGACTCAGGATCGAATATTGAGTCTTCTTTTAACACATAGACCTCATATTCATTTTAGAATTCAGTGGAGAATTTTATTGTCTGGTTTTTTTGGTACCAGGGATTGAACTCACAACCTTGTGCTTGCCAGGCAGGCACTTATGCAGCTGAGTTAAATCCCCAACCCCTTAGTGGAAAATTTTAAAATATCAGTGTGAGTCTTCCGCCTTAGAACTTCTATTTCTTTATTAATACAAGGTGTACCTATTTGTTAAGTACTTCCATAATGATTTTCATATGCACTATTTATTAAGAACTAAAAGTCGTTCAAAGCTGGGGATGTAGCTCAGTGACATAAGTACCTTCCTGGCAAGCACAACATTGAGTTTGATTCCTGTTACCCCGGTTCCCAAAAGCAAAGTCATTCAGGTTTTCAAAATAAATCAATGACTAAAAAAGCAAACTTTTGAATACTTCCAGCAGTATTTGTAATGAAATCGAAGAATAAAAACATACATTTTCATGGTGATTTTTGTAGTTACCCTTTATTAAGAACTAAATCTTTCCAGTTTTCAGAGCAAATCAGTACAAAAATCAAACTTTGAGTACTTTTGATGATGTCTATAATGGGCAAAGTTTAAATATATATTTAAATTCTTATACAGTGGAATCATAATTTTTATATTGTAATTTACTACCATTCAGCAAAATTTTGGTTGTAAACAGAATTGTGATTGTGAAATTATTCAAAGATTAATATTTTGGCAGGTTAGTTAATTCTGTAGACCACATGGTCATGGATGAGACCTGTGCTTAGACTAGAGGTTAGTAACCAACAGGAAGGGAATGTGTCTGGTTTAGTGAACTGTCAGGTGGTTTATAGCTGACTGGTGCCGTCAGTCGAGTTTGGCCGCACTAGTCAGTTCAGGGCTTGCTGAGCTCTAGGTAAGTGGTTAGGGCTTCCTTGGGCTATAGGACCTGACCAGAAATTTATCTGGTAGGATGATGCTAATCACGCTGAAAACTTCCCTTAAGTTCTCTCTTTGTAGGTATGCCCACCATCCATTCCTGACTGGACACCAGTGCAGTGGTTTTGTCAGTCACATAAATAGAACATTGCAGTATGTAACTGTTTTTTTTTTTTTTTTTTTTTTTTGATGGAGGGGATGCTGTTGTGATTTGAGTTCATTTGTGTCCAGAGTTTACACTTTTTTAATCACTAGTAGCACTCTAGGATTTGGATATAACACTGTACATCCATCCACAATCATTGGAAGTCATGTGTTTCCAGTTTTGGTAATCTTGAATGGAATAATTATTTTCCTGCAGGATTTTACTTGAGTACAAAGGAATCATTTCTCTAGTGTAAATACCTAGAAATGTGATTGCTGGATCACAGCTTGTGTTTTTTATTGTCTTTTTTCCTGTTGGACTATAGTGTGTGTTTGTTTTTTCTTCTCCTCCTCCTCTTTTCTCTTCCTCCTCCTCCTCCTCTTCCTTTTTCTCCTTCTCCTTCTCCTCCTCCTCCTCCTCCTCCTCCTCCTCCTCCTCCTCCTTCCTCCTTCCTCTTCTCCTCCTCCTCCTTTTTTTTTTCTTGGTACCAGGGATCAAACTCAAGGCCTTATACTTGCCAGGCAAGTGCTTGTGCCACTGAGCTAAATCCCCAGCCCAGTAGTATTTGTTTCAGAGAAACAGTTTTCAGATCATCGTCATCCTCTTGAGATTTCTTGGATGAAGAATAAACTACATAAATTTTAGTACTATTGTGTGTGCCTTGAATTTGTGTGGGACGTCTTTGAGTGTAACTGTAGTAATAGTTGTTGTATTAGATCTTTGCACATGTAGTGATGATTTCTGCTCCTCTGTGGCTTTATTATTTACTATGGTTTGTAGAATCTGGTGTTGGCTTCCTCTAGGAGGAAGAAATGGAGATTCTCAGGCCCCACACAGCCCCTGCTAGTTCAGAATCCCCTTTGAGCAGTAGTTCTAATGATTGACATATAGGCTGAGGCAAATGCTAATTGGAGTAGTAGAGGGAGAGAGATAGTAAGGGCTTTGCCCCTTGGATTTATCACACATTGGTCACTCTGGTTTCATAGACCTGGAAATATGGTAGTAATAGTAGCAATCCAGTAAGAATTCTGAGGTTTTATGTTTTAGAATGCTCCAGTGCCTGAATACCAGAGTATCCAATGTGGTGTTGCAGTCATTAGGTTGAAAGTATAGTTTACAGTCAGCCATTTATTTTCAGGCACTTGAATTCTGAAGATGTGTTTCCACTCAAAGGCTACCTATAGAGAGAGTGTGCATTTGTGTGTGTGTCTGAGAGAGAGAATGTGGAAAATGTTGAAAGAAAGAATGAAAAATGATGTCATGGTTTTTCTTTTCCCTCGTGAGTTTGTGATACAGCAGTTTGTTAAGAGTAAGGAAAATTTAGGGGCTGGGGATTTAGCTAAGCGGCATAAGTGCCTGCCTTGCAAGCAGGCAGTCGTGAGTTTGATCCCCGGTACCGATAAAAAGGAAAAAGACCAAAAAAAAAAAAAAGAGTAAGGAAAATTTAAACATTATTAATCATGAGAATAAAGAGGCAAATTCTTCTTTCATTAAATTGCTAAGTAGTGTTTAAATGAACCTCACGCTCAGTAGTTACCTATCTTTCACCTACGAGTGACCACTGAGCCTGACCTGTGAAGAAATGAGGTGATACTTGGCAGGAAGAACTGTGTGAGGAAGTTACTTTAGTTTGGGGTGAGGCTGGAAGAAGTTTGGGTAGGGGTACAGATATAATAAAACATATAATAAAAGTTGGCCTTAGTGTGCAGTGGCTGAAGAGAACATAGCCATGCTCTTTATTTGCACTCAGCCCTAGGAGTTAGAGCAGGTGAAGCAGGAGGGCATGAGAGGGGAAGGAAAGCGTGTGGAGGCTGGAGCAGCGGCAGCACACTCAGCTGCAGAGCTCACTGCTCCCGCCAACCAAGGGCCGTCTGGAATTAGGACTTGCGAGCCCATGTGGTTGGAAGAGGTGTGGTTAACTTAGATTAAATGTTTAAATTTATTGAGATTATATTCAATTTAAGTTACATTGGGTTCTGTTATGATCTGGATTAGACTCAATGGTAGGTCCAGCCACAATATTAGCAGTTACGTTTGTCCTCTCAGAAGTATAAGTAGCAACCATGTGTAGGACACTGTATTAACTACAAACGGGAGATTTGAGCTTTTTCTTTTTGTGTGGGGACAGTCTTTTTGAGACAGGGTTTCACTATGCAGTTCAGGCTGGCCTTGAACTCACTTTGTGTGTGTGTGTGTGTGTGTGTGTGTGTGTGTGTGTGTGTGTGTGTTTTTGAGACAGGGTCTCTATGCTGAAAGTTCAGGGTGGCCTTGAGTTCACTTTGTAGCCCAGGCTGGCCTCAAATTCATAACAGTCCTCCTGCCTCAGTCTCCCAAGTGCTGGGATTACAGGTGCATGTTAATGTGCCCAACCACTTTTTCCAGTGTTCATTTTTAACACTTGAATTTATTTTTTCCTTGAGCAGTTCATAGTTTCTTATGGCTTTATGTGAGGACATTTTGAAATATCTTCACATCATAGATGTAAACAGCTTAATGTATTCTGGTATTTTTTAACATTAAGTTTATGTGAACAGGAACTCACTCTCCTTCTTTCTCTGTTTGCTTTCTGTGTCTGCCACGTAGGGAGGTATGGAAACCTTGGAACTCCAGAAAGACGTAAAAGAAGAATCAGATGAAGAAGATGATGAGGATGAAGAATCTGGACGATTACGTTTCAAAACTGAAAGGAAAGAAGGAACAATTATTAGGCTGTCAGATGTAACTAGAGAGAGAAGAAACATTCCAGAAACTTTGGGTAATTTTTTTGCCTGTCTTAATACTTCTTAATACCCATTTCATATTCTTTTGTAGTTCTAAGTTAGTCACACAAAGAAAGAAGGCTGCCCTAGGAGACTGTGGCTGTTACCCGGAAGGTGAATAGTTGCCTGAGGTCAGTGGTTAATAATGGTGCCATGAAAGTCCTTCTTTCTGGATAGCAGTTTGAATAAGATCTGTGAGATGACTTTTTGTTTTAGTAGTTTTCCTTTGGCGCCTGTGATCTAGAGCTGCTCTCCTACACAGCCTGCTTTCCAGGCTGCTCCTGGGCGAGGTGGGGGTGGGGTATGGGGATGCAAGAGATGGCCTTTGGGACCATCCCAAAACCCTGGAATTACCAGTGGCAATTCTGGACAAATTGGATTGACCTTGTATCTTTAGGATCTTGATAGCCATTTTGTTTGGGTTTTTGCTTGTTTGCCTTCCTCTTGGTGTGGAGTGAGGAACTCATTTATAGAAGTAGTGCACTGTCATTAGGAGCACACTCGGCTGCTAGAGGTGTGCTATGGAGGGCTGCCGACATACAGCAAGCACCCCCTGCCTCTCCTGCATGAGTTCCAGTGTCCTTTCCTATCAGGCAGTGGTTCTCAAGTTTGCCCGAGTGTCAGAATCATGTGAGGGAGGCTGGGCTGTAGTGCGTGGTAGGAGCCTTGTCTAGAATCACTTCAAGGATGCTGTTAAGTGCATCACTCTCAGCTGTCCTGAGAGCTAAGCTTTGTGCCAGCTTAAGTGCTGCTGTTTGGACCTGAAGTCGATATTCGGAGCCATTGGGTGTGGGCCTTCTTTCCCAGGAGAGAGCGACGGTGACAGGATACCAGGCTGCCTGCCCTTTGGTCATGGTCTAAGTCATTGGTGGCAAAGCTATGGCAAACAAACACTATTTTTCTTGAAGATGTAAGATATTAATGTATAAGTTATTTTTTCTAAATTCTTCCTCAGTAGTATTCAGATTTGATTGCAGTGTTGGTGCTTTGTGATAAATAAGTGGGTTTTTGCTTACAGTTGGAGCACTGGTCTCTAAAAGGTTCACTATTGCTGCTCTGGGTAAAAATTAGTAGCAAGCCTTCATTACTAGCTTTATTTTAGAAAGCATTGTTTATAGTTGCTTTTAACTCAAACCATGAACATGTGTCTTTGAGGGGCAGGTGCAAATTCTTCAGTGGACACAAAGCTCCCCAGGCACAGAAGTGAGCAGGAAAGAGCTAGTCGTCTCACGTAACATTACTGAGCAGGATTTACATAGTCTGCTATACCCTCAGTCTTCTGTCTCTTCTCTGTCTAGTTGCCTTATTCTTCAGTGTTGGCCAAGGTTTTCCTGGACTTTCTTAGGTTGTGGTACAAAGTTGTAAGTTGGTGTGAACCAGATTTCATAGAGAAAGCATAATATTTCTTAAAAAATTCATGGTTTTGGGCTGGGGATTTATCTCAAGGGCGTAAGTGCCTGCCTGGCAAGCGCAAGGTCATGAGTTTGATCCCTCGTACTCCCCACATTGTTTTTTTCTCTGGGCTGGGGGTTTAGCTCAGTGGCACAAGTGCTTGCTTGGTAAGTACAAGGTCGTGAGTTCAATCCCTGGTACCAAAAACGAAAAAAAGAAAAAAAAATTCACGGTGTGTCTAAGAAAATAGACCTGAATTTTGCTTTGGGAAAAAGGAGATGGTATAAATATTTTGAAATGGGAGGTCAGAAAAAATGAAAGTGCTTGAGGAGGAATTGGCCACATAGCAGAAGAAACTTGGTAGAGCAGAGAGCTCGTGAACCTGAATTGTGACAAGCTCTGTGCCAGGTTGAACACTTTGGGTTCTAGGGAGATCTCTTAATTGTGGCCCTCATTATCTAGGCAGGGCTTTGAGTGCAAACACTGGAAACCTGAAACATAAGAATATGGCCCCTGAGTGCCCCCATGCTGTAAGGTCCAGCAGCCAGCAGTGCCAATGGGTACCTCTCCTGTGCAGTCAGGTGGCTGCTGGGGAGACTTACTGGGTTATCTGACTCCTGTGTCACTTCTCCATGCACACTGTCTCTTTACCTTTGTCTGCCTCCTCTGTTCTATTCCCACCCAGATACTGGTAATACTGGTAAGTCTCTTCATTCTGAAATGTTAGTTGGCCTGCATCTGTAGGTGTTGTGTATCTTTCTTTTCCCTGCGTATCTTTCTTTTTCTTTGCAGAATGTTTGCATCATTCCTTCTTTTTGGAATCATTTATTCTTTTATTAAAAGAACACGTACACACACACACACGTGCGCGCACACACACCCTTCACTTACACCTTCTTTAGGTGCCCACCAGCTTTATAGTAATGTTATCCTGTGATGGGACACTGGAAAGGTTAATCGATTTTGGGCAAGTCAGTGTGTTGGAGTAGGATGGAAGAAGGCTGAGGTGCTTAGAAGCAGTGTGGCTACAAAGCCTGAGCTGTTCTTCGAAACCTTAAAAATGAGACTTAAATACTTTTGTGAAGAATGTAGTTGTTTTGCTAAGTAATAGGGCAAGTAAAAATGTTGCTTAAAAGTACCTTTCTTTGTTCCATATTTGTGAGTCTGACAGTTTTCCAGAAACTACAAAGGTAGGATTTTACCTAATTTAAAAGAAAGGAATTTTCTGTCCATCAATAGATGGGTTTCCCCAAGAGGATGAGCTCTATGACACCTCCCCAAAACAGAGACTAACTTTCCAGATTAGGAGAAGGTTCACTGAAAGAGTGAGAGGGGCTACAGTGTTTGAAAACTAGAAATTTACATGAATTGTTGCCTGTCACTTTGCTTGCTCCTGGTGATAGAAAACAACGGTCTCAGGGTCTAAATAGACGAAATTGCATTTATTTGATTACATAAAGCTGGTTGTGTACTTTTGGTAATGAGATTACAGTATCTTGCTACTGGAGTGTATGTTGTCTCATATGATTGATACTTTAAATTTTTATTTTAAAGAGAATAAAATCAAACAAAATAAAACAGAATAAAGCCAATCAAAACAAAACAGTGAAGGTGATATAGGACTTCAAAGAAGGATAATAGGAAATCAACAATGGCTACTGTAATGCCTCTTGTTATTTTCAAATTGCTGCCCATACCATCAGAAATAGTAAAATAAAACAATAAAACCTATCAAAACTGAACATTGAGTAAAACAAAACAATAAAATGGAACAAAACAAAACAGTATCTCTTAGTTGTTGCCCTCATTATCTAGTTAGGGTTTTGGGTGTGTGCACTGGAACCCTGAAGCATGAGAATATGGCCCCGAGTGCTCCCATGTTGTAAGGTCGGATTTCAAAGACAAGACAGAAGGAAATCCCCCATAGTTACAACATGCAATATAGCATGTTCTTATCTCCCAGCCAGCCTGCTGGTTGGCTCATGGGAAGGGCAAATTGGTTTCGTGGTACCCCATGGCTTCCGCCAGCTCACCAGAAGGGCAGGCTGGCTTCTTGTTTCTTTTTCTTCTTTTGTCTTTTTGAGACAGGTCTCACTGTGCAGTTCAGGCTGGCCTTAGCTCAGTTTGTAGCCCAGGCTGGTTTCGAGCTTATAACGATCTTGCCTCTTGAGTGCTGGGATTACAGGTGTGTGTTTGCTTCTTCTTTCTTGAGAGGTATTTTTTTTTTTTGAAAATTTTGATTTAAAAACTTTTTTTAGCATTGGTAAATGTTGAGAAAATGCCTTTTTCAAAAGGAGGAATCAACGTGTGATGCCTGCCATTTCTGACTCTTTTAAAGAATTGCATGTGAAATACTGAGTTCTTTTCAAAATCTAGAAGGAAGTATTGGCATTTTAGTTTTTGTTCACATTCATATACATGGTATCATCCTTCAAAACACTAATTCTAGTATGTGATAGTCTGTAGTGTTAAGGAACCTGATGTATAATTGTTGGTTCGTATTTTGAATATAGGTTGAGTTAAAGGTAGAATTTTGGGGCTTTCCTCTAAGTTAATATCTTAGCTGGTTAGCTTTTTTCCCGACTAGGATCCTGGAAAGAAGGATTTGTGTGCCTTTTCCCCCTCAGTTTTCTCAGATATGGTATAAGACTACATGTTTAGAAGATATATTCATGTGAAGGATGTTGTGGGATGGAAGTCATTCTCATGTGGAACCCAGCTGAACAGGGCTGCTGGAACGTTATATGTAAGAAAGAGGTTGATTTTTGAATGAAAATGTTAAAGCATTCTGAGATAGGGTGCCATTGATCAGTTTCCCACAGATACAAGCCTTGTATATTTAACAAAACTATTTATTCTGTTTTAGGAAGTGAATATCAGGTGATCTTTGCAAGCAATGCTAACCATAAATGAAAGGCCACATTTATTTCAATTAGGATTTTTCCTTATCTGTGAGTGGACTTCCAGATTTAATGTTGTGCTGTGTTTCATTGGCACGTATGATATGTTAAATTTTTATTGCTTTAGCTTATAAAACCTGCGTGTTATACCCACAAAGTATTCTTAAACTAATATCTTTAATTATAATTTATGACTAAGTATCTGAGAGGTAAACATTTTCATCTGGTAATGAAGAGTTCAGCATTGTTAGTGCCATCCATCCCATTCTGTTCTATAATGGGCCTTGCATTTGCAAGGCTTTACAGATTTCTTCTTTCAGTTATTTGTAAAGAAAATTTTCACAGTACCATTTGCTATTTTTATTTTGCCAAGTAAATTGTGTGTTCCATACCAATCATTTCCAACTATTACTCAGTGATTTGAATGCAAGTAATCTTAACATTTTAGAAGGGAACAGTATAAAACTTAGTTGCACTATGTCTCTTGAATGTGGATATAGTTCAGAAAACACTTAAAGGGAAATTAACATTTCAGTTGAAGTTACAAATGTAATTTCCATCCTGTCATATTTTGGTGACCTTTTGTGACAGCTTGTCTCAATTGGAGGAAAGCATTTTTACTTGCTGATTAAAGATGTCATTTGAAACCATTTTATTACTGAGGATAGTGAAATTAATCTTGACACTTAGACCCACTAGAAAAATAATTGCTGATTCACTGCATAAAATGTGTGTGTGAACCAATCATGTCATTAAGATTAGAATAAAAGTCTGTGCTGGTGAAAAGGAGATTAAATTTTCTTTTATTGGGATCTAGACTTATTTGGAGGGGAGGGGAATACCATAGAAATGATTTCAAGAAAATAAAACATAGCAGAGATTTTGGAAGAATTTGGAAGTGATGATTGAATCCATGGTAGGAAGTAGACTTCAGTGATATTTAAAACATATCTGGTGCTATTTAAATTAAAACATACTCTTCACTGAACGAATACATGAGGAAGCTTCCAGGAGTATTTGGTGACCTCTCCAGAAAATAGGCATTTACTGATGTGAGATGCTTAGAATAATGTGGCACAGGAAGTTTTAGGGCTGATGCTTACAAAGTGTGGGATGGTGAGTGAACATGTGCTCTGTGCTCTACCAGTATCTGTTAGTGAGCTTTTCCTTGTGTGACCTTGTTCTCATTGGATAACGCACTCATAGTAGACTTCACAGAGTGAAGCTTTTTAAAGATAGAACGTGAAAGTTTGAAGTGTAAGAATATTTCAGTTCTTAAGGGAATTAATTTCTAATAATCAGATTTCAGAGTGGGTTCATTAATAGCTTTGTTTTTAAGTCAATGATGAGGATTTGTGTTTTTGAGTCTGTGCCATTGTGTATTGATGATAAAAGGAAGTGACTATAGAATGTTGGGTCATGTAAGACAGTGGTGACATTCATAGCACCCACTTCTATGTAGCTTCATGCAGCATACTTTGTAGTCTCAAGTGCAAATACTGTAAAATTCATGGACAATGCTTAAATTTTATTGCAAAGAAAAAGCTTTGTACGACAGATGTCCTAGGGGGTGTCAGTGTCACTGGTGGCATCATGCTGGTGAAGCACGTGTTACCATGCTTTCACTGTAATGTATTTCTTTCCTGTGTTCTCTTGTGAGTCTCCTCTAGGCTGTTTGAAGCTGTCTAACACATATGCATCTTTTCAAATAGAGCTTTCAGCAGAAGCCAAGGCTGCGTTGCTTGAATTTGAAGAAAGAGAGCGACAGCACAAGCAGGGCCGCTATGGATCCCGGCGGGGCGGCAGGCGAGGTGGCTCTCTGATGTGTCGTGGCATGGGAGACCAGAGAAGAGACAGTGGCGACAGAGGGAGAATGAAAGATCACAGGCCCGCTCTGCTTCCCACTCAGCCTCCAGTCATGGTAATGCACCATAATATTCCCAGATAGTCTGAGAACTTCAGAGCAACCCAGGTGTGCATTGTTGGTGTGGTTTTTATGTTTACTTCTTCGTAGGGTGAAATTAGATGAGTGATAGGATGAATGTTTCTGCTTTATGATCTGTGATATGATTTCATGCACAGTCTTAGAAATGCGCCCTCCAGTAACCTGGCAGTTCTTGATAGTCCAGCACCTTAGCACTGCCCAAGAAGAACTGATGACCTGGCGCTGGTGGCATTCACGCTGCTAGAGATGGATGTGCTCCTGAGCACTGCTTCCACAGTTGGCCTCATGCTTACAGAATTTAAGTGGTGGTTGATTATTTTATACAAATATTTTTCCATATACTGTTTACTATAGGTTTTCTGTAAGTAGTATTTTTCTTAAAATAATTACTCTGTGCTATCCATAAAACTTTGTAATTTAGTAATAAATCATGTAATTTCAACATGAAGTTAAATCTGTTCTGTATTTATAGCAAGATGTCTTAGAAGCAAAGACAGGAATAGTGTCCTTTTTTGTTGTTGTTCTGCCAGCCTGAGGACTTTCTGGCTTTCTCCTTTGGAAGTCAGAGTTTTGGAAGAAATGTAGTCAGTATCTGCTGTGTGCCCATCGGCGTGGACTTTCCCTTTGTGCAGAAACATCATAGGAGCCATGCATTTGTGAGGTCGTGCAGTAAAATACGGGAGTTTGGCCCCAGGGGATGAGCCTGTGTTGAAGCACAGACAAGAAGAGAAGGAGCAGCTGCGTGGCAGCAGGAGAGGGTGGCATGGAGCTGCTATTGCACTCACAGCTGATAGGCTCTTAAGCACCTCTGGTTGCAGATGGACCAGACCTTTAGTTCCTTCTTCCTTCCCTGCCCCGTGCCAGCCCAAGTCCATACGTGGCATATATGGAACAGCTAGTGCAGGTATTTTGGCCTGCTGCAGAGGGGACTATGCAGGGAATGGGACTGTTTGTAGTTGCAGCCCCATGATCCTGGAGAACTTCCTTTTTTCTTATCCCCTAGGTAAGGCAGGACATACATCACCTAACTCTTGTAGAGAAGTTAACTGAGGGAGAGAGTGGACAGACACTCTTAACAACTGTCCAGAATTGAAGGTGAACTGCATCCTGACAGCAAAGCTGTCTCTGATTTCTGATAGGATGAATCTGGACTGTGCAGCCAACTAAGTACCTGCCTGACTGGGTCTGCCCAACTAGGGGTTGTGCTGCAGTCTTGTCTGACTGTCGTGGTACTTTCCAGCTGCCTGCTGACTGCGGAGGCCAGGGTTGGCCCATGTCTGACTCTGCATCCCACATTGCAGAAAGGATAATCTGGCTCATGCCTGTTTTTGCCTATCTCCCTGTATCAATCTGCTAGAGTCCATCTTCTCAGGGCCCAAAGAGAGTGGGCTGTGTATGCGTGCATCAGTCCAGTGGGCCACACTCCAGAGGCTTGGGCATCACTGTTACTACCTTTAGCTTCAGCTGCACCAGCTGTTTTGTCTTCTAGAATCATCTCTACTTTCTTCCCTCCCTCCTTCCCTTCCATTGTGATGTGACATGTAAACATTTGTGCAATGATTATATCAAACCAACATCTCCAGTTACCATGACCTCATATCCTTTTGTATGTGTATGGTTTGTGTGTGTGTGTGTGTGTGTGTGTGTGTGTGTGTGTCTGTCTGAGTGAGAGAGAGCATTTAAAACTCTGCTCGTTGTGTTGTTTCTCGTGTCTCTGGGCATCTTTTGAAACCATCCACTCACTCCCTTCTCTATGTGAATTTCATTTCCACGTGACTTCTTTCTGCTGTAGTTTCTCCTTATCGGCTATCCCTGTAAACTCCACATGAATGTTTCACAGGACCTCACCTTCTCTTGAAGTGGGTAAAACAGGATCATTCCTTAAAACTCCACAATCTTCTTGTATTATGACTGTGCACAATAGTCATTTTTGGCTTCATTAAGTTTAGGTAGGGTGTGCCTGTGGTGGGAAATGTGCTCTGCCTGGAGATACTGGATAATACACAGTCCTCATTCTCCTGTCTGTCTGTGTTCATTAAAATTAAGTTGATGAGTGAAAAAAGGATGTGGCCTGAATTCTGGGAGTGGGAATCTTAGAATCGTTGGAAAAGTCCTTACTGAGGAGGGGTAGGAAGGAAGCCAAGCCCATGCATACACATGTTTTAAATTGTGCGTGTTGTTCCTTTGATGGTGTCTTTGCTCTCCCTCAGTCTTTGGCCAGTTCTTTCATTTCCCTCTAGCCATGGTTGGTGGACCACTCTGTACTCTCACCTCCTCTTGTTGTCCATCTCAGTTGTTGCCATGAGTGACTGTCTTCCTACCAGACTCCTCAGGCCTTCGCATCAGTGCACTGTATATGATGTAGTAATGATCTTTCCCTTGAATTCAGCGGTCCTCATTCTCTGTAACTTGGCATCATCCCAGGGAAAACTGCTTGTTAAATTACCCTGCTAAATTTGTAGTGTGCTCATTAACTATGTGGTCAGTTTGATTAGCAGTGAAAAGCAAAACTTGTGGAATCTGTGTATGTGAGTTATTCTAGCTCTTTGCTTCTCAGTTGTGTGGTCTGATAAAGAGGATGTGGGGAACCAAGTGTCCTGCCTGCTGGGCTGACCTCATAGTGAACTTGAGATGAGGGGACACAAGGCCTTGTGACTGTGCTGTTAGTTTCCCCTTTCTTAGTGATTTTGGGACAGAATAGTTTGGAGATCCTCAGCCACTGCCTGCCTGCCTTTTCTTTTCACATGCCACAGCCATATTGGTCTCCATCTGTACTAAACAGGCTGTCCTTCCCTGTGCTTCTGCCAGATGGTTCTGTTACCTGAGTGGTACCTTGATTTCCTCCCATTGTGGCCCAGTGTAGTACCAGTTCTCAGAGAAGTTCCCCTACTCCCATGGGATGACTCTCTTCACAACACCTGCTTTCTGTGACTCTTGGAGCAAGAGGAATGGGGTTGGTTATATCTGGAGGCTGACAGCAGCTCTGTCTGATCCCCGCCTGGTCAGCTTTGCTATCTCTGAGCAGTTTGGGTTAATGAACTGCATTGTTTTGGCTGAAGTTATGCTGGGTTTTTTGGAGCTGCCATTTTTGTACCCTTCGTGCTGTGAATTGGATATGATGCCATCCTTCTTTGCAATGGATAGAGCAGCTTGTTTTTCCTTTGGTTTTTATATAAGTTGTTGTTGTTGTGAACTTCAGTCCTACATCCTTTTAAGACACAGATTGTTTAAAGACTTTTTTAAAATGTAAATGATTCTTTGGGTTTCTAGCAAGTGTTGATTTCTGTGTCTTTTTCTTTCTTGTGGTTCCTAGACTCACTCTCCGAGATTGATCCCCCCTCCGCAGCCACAGCCACCCCCTCCGCCTCCATCACAGCAGCAGCAGCCTATCAGGAGCCTGTTCCAGCAGCAGCAGCACCCACAGCCTCTGCTCCCACTGCAGCACCCGCACCACCCGTCCCCACCTCAGGGTGTGCACATGCCCCCTCAGATGGAGGCCCCTCGAGTGATGCTGACGCCTCCTCCTGTGACTCCGCAGCAGCCCAAGAACATCCACATCAACCCACACTTCAAGGGCACAGTGGTGACCCCTGTTCAAGGTGCGTGCTCTGTTCTGGTGCTGGTACTGTGACAGGTACTGTTATCTCAGGCCATGTTGTCTGTGCAGCAGTGTTCCCCAGTTCAAGTCTGTGAACAGGCTGTGTTCCCTGGCCCTTTCCCCACCCTTGGACACACTTAGTTTGACAACCAAGTTCATTTTCTTCACGGTAAGGAATTCATACTTTCTGAGTGAGTACTAAGTGCTAAGAGGGTATTCTCGGTAGACATACACACTAGAGGGACCTGTTGCAATGCCTGAGCAGTGACTTCATGTGTCTCCTGGGCATCACTGAAAGTGATAAATGACCCTCTTGGGTGTCGCCTAGTATACTCCTTTACTTCACCGTAGGTCATTTTGGAGTTAACTGTGTACATGTGCATGGTACAGCGGGAACACCAGAGGTAGGGAGGGACTGGGGGAGCAGTTAGGGTGGCTTTAGGGACTGGCTTTGCAGGGAAGAAGGTTGTAGGCAGAGCGACCAGCTAGTACCGGAAACTTGTTCAAGACAAGCCTGTACCTTGTGTGCTTGCATAACCATCAGGAGACCAGTATGATGACTTCAGAGGGGGACAGAAGCAGAGAAGAGGTACAGAGCTAAGCTGTGTCTGAGCTGTCTTAGGGACTTGGCTTTCCTCTACAGGTTGTGAGCAGTGACCCTGCGTGGCTGCGCTGTTCTGTTGGAGGACCCATTGGGCAGCCTACAGGATACACAACCCGGGAGTAAATTGGTTGGCAGCAGGGATAGCAAGGGGCTGCTCACAGATGCCAGTGGGTAGGATGCGTGGGGAAGGTTGCTGTCACTGAGGTGGCAAAGACTAGAAACCCTTGTCGGGGATGTGTTACATCTGAGTGGAGGAAATAAGTGGCCAGAAGCTGGGAGGGTGACAGGAAGGCCTTTGGGTTTCTAGGGTGAAGGGGAACAGGTGAGAGTCTGGCTGAGAAAGGGGCACAGGGTGCGAGTCACTGTTGCCAGGCTTTTGGCAGAGTTCTGTAAAACAAATTTATTGGTAATTGGGAGTTGGGGGAGAAGAAGACTCGAGAGGAAGCTTTTGGTTTTTAAGCTGTGGAGAGTTGCAGTACATACTTAGGGAAAAGAAATCATCGATGTGAGCAAGAGAGAAAGCTCAGCCGGCAGGACTGGACAGTGTGTTGGTGTGAGGCTGCTATCCATGGTTACACTGGGAGCACAGCCAGTGGCAGGGCTGGCAGGTGTTGCTGTGGGGCTGATAAAAGCATCTGAATGGGGTGGTTGGGTTGCAGGCAGTCTGAGGTGAGGAATCCTGAAGCCACCCTCTGGGACCAAAGAGGGGCATGTAGGGGTAGCAGCCTGTATCTTTCCCGTGCCCACTTCCTGCGCAGGCAGAATTGGGGGTGAGAGATGGTGAGAATGGCGCTGTGGAGGGCAGGGTACTGTGGAGCGAGGTGGGCAGAAGGTGGATCTATGAGTGAGAAGCTGGCTACTTCTGTGGTCCTGGGCAGGAAGGCAGGTGGGCACTGCTGAGGTGGCCCCAAGGTCTAGGGCTGAGGTAAATGAGGCTGAGAGTAGGGTACTGGGAGAGCCGGGGCACAGATGGAATGAGTGCTGCAGTCTGTGGCAGTGATCTAGCAGCTGACCTCCTGGCAGGAAGGAGCACAAAGGTGGTGACAGGAAATTGAGTGGGTCTGGAACAGTGATGATTGGAAAGGAGCCCTTCAGCACAGCGTCCTCTGAGGTTTCTTCCTGAGGTGGAGACCAGCGTGTGATATTGGCAGTGCTGATGCTAACTGCAGCTTCTCGCCAACAGTGGGATTGCTCAGCTTGTACCACAGACCGGGGCTTACCCCATACCCTCTCCCTTTCTGGACTCTGCATGCTTAAGTTGAAGCCACAGGCAGCCTGTCCTTCACTTGCAGGTAGTCAGTTGCTTGTTCCCTGTGTCTGAACATCATCCTTCAGATGAGTGCATGGCCAAATTGACGACTCTTACAAGAAAACACATTGGATTACAGCCTACCATAAAGACCTCATTTTGCTTTAACTGCCTCTTTAAACATCTTGTCCCCAACCACATCACATTAGGGGTTTTAGGGTTGGTTCAACATATAAATTTGAGGACAAAATTTATTCCCCAACTCCTGATCATCTGAGAGTTCGGACTTCTTCAGAATTGCTGAGCTTTTTTCAAAAATCAAAAGTCAGTATAAGCAGTATGTATTAAAGAGTTTAGCATATCTGATTTAGCTTCAAGATGTGAAACTACCATTTCACTTCTTTCCCACAGTGAAATGTCTTCTTAAAAATAATTCTTTAGTCGTCTGGTAGGTTGGTAAGAGTTTTGGATGTTTAAAAACAAAAACAAAAACAAAAAGCATAATATGTTGCTTATTTGTTATTCTTTATAAAGGCATGAGCATTTTCAGGGATTCCCGTATGTGCTATTTTCCTTTCTGTTTGCCTTATTTCCTCCCTTTTCATGATTTTAGAGGATTTAGAGTTAGAGTAGGGTAGGATCTCACTGCGATTGGATAGCCTGGGGATAACCTAGATAGGACATAGAAAACAAGCCAGGTTTTTTATTTTAGAAGAATACTGTCTTTTGTTACAAAATATTATAATTCCTAACAGTAACTCACAGCTTCAGCATATGCTGTTGTGTACTGAAGAAAACCCACTCTCCTCTCTGCTTAGCTCATGTAAACCTAGTGTTTGATGATGTGTATGCTACATGCAGTGACACTAGAGATTATCTACTTTCCTTGGGGTGGATGGAAAATGATGGTAACAAAAGGTGTTTTCTTGCAGTGCCCTTGCTGCCAGTTCCAAGCCAGCCAAGGCCTGCTGTGGGACCCCAGAGATTTCCTGTAAGTAGCAGCTGCTTCTCCTGCTTTGAAGGGGAAGAACCCCCATGCACTAAGAGATCTTAATACCATACATGGCAAAGGCTCCAGCTATATAAAACTACGAGGATCAGTAAATGTTGATTGGAATTGCTGCCCTGGAAAATGTTTTTTAAAAGCTTAGGACCAATAGATTTTTAAAAGTGGAATTAATTTTGTTTAATTGTAAAATTACCAAATCAGGATCATCAGCATAATGCCTTTCATCTTAAAGAATATGAATTCTGATTTTGTTACTGTCCTGAGTTAAGTGAGAAGGAAAAAGTCCTTTCTTCCTGAGAGGGTAAGAGAACGTGGGGATATTTGTATTAAATTCAGGGAATAAAAATGAGATCTGCTTATTTTTCAGAAATGCTCCCAAAATCTTAATTTGTTGTATATTTTTTACTCTCTCTTTTTTTTTCTTTTCCTGGAACCAAGGGTTGAGCTCACAACTTTGCATTTGCCAGGCAGTTGCTGTGCTGCTGCGCTAGTGCCTCAACCCTTGTGTGTTTTTAACTGAAGCTCCATTTCCAATTTTTTTTGTTGTTGTTGTTGGTACCAGGGATTGAACTCACAACCTCCTGCTTGCCAGGCAGGTGCTTGTGCCTGCTGAGCTAAATCCCTGGCCCTCAAATATTTTTTTGTACACTTTCCTGTATGCTCTTTATCTTTAATTAAAAGGAAAATACCCATTAACTGGCTGTTACTTAAAGATACACATTTTATTTTGTTTGAATTTCTGGTTTGACTTTGTAGTCTGTTCATATTTCATTAAATGAATGGTTATATGTTTTTTTTTTTAAACTGTGGGAGAATTGTACCAGACCATAAAATTCTAGTGTCACTTATATGTAAGTGACACATAAACAGAGAGTCCTATTTATGTTAAACAACTTAACTTTTAGAAAGTATTTAAATGGCCTTTTTGACTGATTAGCTTTCATACTTTACTAGATAACGTTTATAAGGCATATTTAAACCAGTTTAAATGAGACACCTGTGTATATAATTAGGCAGTATCACAAAAGTAAACTGTGTGCTGGATTTAAGGCTCTGAGTGTTTTTTTAAGGCCTTCTTGATTTGTTACGAATTATATTGTGGTTTCCAAAGTTAGTTCTTTTTGATCTTTTCCTATATTTGCTAAATTCTTTAGATTACTAACCAAGTTCTGAAAGTTTGTTTTTGTTTTAAATCTTTAAAAATATATTCAGAGGGCTTATTTAAAAATAGCTGAGGTTAGTAATAGTGTTGCCAAAGGCTAATGTGTCATTTTAGCCATTAGATATATTGTTTTCTAAGGAAGTAGTTCACCTGCTAGTTAATATAAAGCACTAACATTTTAAGTACTTTTTGCCCTTTCTCAGGATTGTGAACATCTTTGTTGAAATCATTGACTTGTCATATTTTATTTGCATAGAGATACAATTTGATGTAAAAGGCAATTATAGTTGTAAGAGAGAAACATAAAGCATTGTATATTATTGGTACTTTTGTAAAAGTGTGCTTACTAATATAAAAGGAGTATTAGTTACAATTTTTATTTACTTTATCAATTGTGCAAGTAAAATTGTATCAAATGCTAGAAGAAAAACGTATTTTGAGAGTGTTAAGAGGAAAATAAAAGATAATTTGCATGAGAAATAGAACTTAGTTTTTAAGTTTTAGAGATTCTGAGGGTAGTAAATATTGTTGAACTTCCACTGGAAATGTTCTTGGCGGGTGTTCTGTGTTTGAGGCAAGAAGTGCGTGTGATTGGGAATGCCTGGGCTAGCAGGGAACGACAGGTTGGTGTCGCCGTCTGACCTCTGCTTTTCTGTCTGCCCCAGCTCCTGGCCCTGAGGCTGAAGTTACAGTGTACTTTTGCTGTAGGATGTAGTGGTGTACTTGCTTCTGTCATCAGTCTCCCTTAGAGAAAATAATGGAATGTGCAATCTTATTTTCTTAAAAATGCAGAAGTATTATGTTTTTAATAAGTCCATCAGACCTATTTAGGGAGAAAGATAAACGCTATGCTGTCTCCTGTAATTTTACTTAAGCCAGATCTTGGTGAAATAAAATTATTTTTTTCTTTTATACGACTAGATTAAACTTGTTTGCTATGAATGTGAATTTAATTTTGTAAACATCTATCAAGGGTCTACTTATGCCAAGTGCTCTGTGTGGTACCAGTCAGTAAAAGGTCCAAGTATAATTAAGTGGAACCTAACTTAGAGCTTTAAGCTGATGTTCACTTGTGTATAAAAATCATGAAGACTGTGTTGTACAAAGCTCAGTGGGGATGTGTTACTGGCTGGGTTCTCTGTAGACTCTGACTCTATTCTTCAGTAGTTGGGCACAATCAGTATTCATTACACTGAAGTTTAATAAAACATTCAAGTTAGGAAACCTAGATTTTTTTTTTTTTTTGTCTTTTTGTCGGTACCGGGGATCGAACTCACGACGGCCCGCTTGCAAGGCAGGCACTTATGCCGCTGAGCTAAATCCCTAGCCCCTAGATTTTTTTTAACATAGGATTTTTGAGTCATTATTTCCCTGGTACATAAAACCAGGTTTCAGTTGAACGTTTTTGTACTAGTTGGCATGAAATTGTCAATTGAGCAAAGTGAGGGCCATTGTCATCTTGTCATTGCCCAGTTTGACCCTTTTCAGGCTCCGTCGCTATGAGGACAAGGTGTATGCACAGTTGACCTGTTAGGCCATACATTTCCCTGTATTTGTGTGGTGTCTGGCAAAGGTCTGTGGGTGAACCTCTGCACAGGTCCCCTGTCATCCTGTGCTCAGTGGTTGCAGACTCAGCCAAGGGCCTTGACGACAGAAGGTCCAAACATGGAGTTGTGGAATAGGTATACAAAGGGATTTAATGCTAATTCTGAGTTACTTTGCCACTGAAGAGAAGCCTGTCATAGAATGATGTATATTTTAATAGTTATGTTTTACTTCTGTTGTTTTTAAAGGCATATAAGAGTTATGTTGTATACCATGAACTGCAACAAACTCAGCTCTGTATCCTACTTGAGAAAGAGAGATGATAGACAGTAGACAGAAGTAGCACTAGATTTCTAAACCTTAAGGATCTTAGATTTGTCACTTTTGCTAAGGTTTTCCTTATTTTCCCCAGGAGTGGTATACTTCACTTGCTTGAAAGTCAACTTAGTTTGGCAGTTAACGTGAAAACTTTAGTAATTCTTAATTTAGAGCTGGGTTGTCCGGATACTTTCCTAAGTGATAATGCCTCAGTACTCCCTCACCCCAACCCTTGGAACTAGGGCTAGAGGAGCATTCTGCCTCGAGCGGATCCCCCAGGCCATGCTTCCAGTTTTTAAATAATTATAGACAACCTGGTGTGAAACATGTTTTATGGAATCATTAACATTATTATTCTGCAGTACTGGGAATTGAACCTGGGATCTCATGCACGGTAGGCAAGTATTCTCCATCACCAAGCCACATCCCCAACTGATCTAATAAACCCCAGCCGACCTTATTTTTTTTTTCCAACATTATTTTTAAAAATTCAAATCCTAGATCAAAATATGACATTTTAGGCTAAATTCAATAGAGTAAAACTAACATTTTAATTTCCCATAAGTGTCTATTACTTAGAGAATTGAGTATGTAATTTTTAAAACAAAAAATTTAATGTCAGAGTGGCAAATGCCGTAATAAAAGGATCCTTATTTTTATTATTTTGAAAGAAATAAGTTTCAGCTCTTGGCACTCAGTTTTTTTGGTCATGTTAGCCTTTGCACTGGATGTGGTTCTAATCCTTTTACTCATTTAGGGAATTCTGTGAAGCATTTTGTAAGTTGGCTGCCAGTAAAAATTATATTCATGTACTTAATTTTAGTTACGGATACAGCTATTAGTGCTAAGATGTTTCTTCTTAAACTTTTATTTCCAGTGCCCATTTTTTCCAATCAGAGCTATGAATCTCTTTCGCAAATATAAACTGTATCTCAGTTAATACCATATCAGGGATGACTTTTTCATTTCATTTTTCTGCCAGAATATTAAGCTTTGTAATGTAAAAATTTTCCTAACTATAGTCCATTTTTCCAGTTCATAATGGTAACATTCTTTATGGGGAGTGGTGCATGTACATAATGCATCTCAATTCTTTTTTCATCTCCTTCTCCTCCTTTACCAGTAACGAAGGCTAACATGAACCAATGGATACGGGAAGTAGCGTATATCAGGGAATTCCCAGGTCTGCTTTTTTGACTGTTTGCTGCTTCTGCTATCTAATTGTATTCAAGTCAGGACCTCTAGATGTGATCTCACAAAGCATTTGTTTCTGTGTTTTGTTGATTAGGAAAGAAGGAAAGTGTGTTTGCAGTGAATTTTCTAGTGCCTCACATATGGAAACTACATTTCAATCTGAATTGTTTCAGTCCCATGTGTCCTTTGTTTTATATGCTAATAATCTGATTAGTTTCTTTTTCTACAGAGGCTTTCCCTGGCATTTTTGTCATTAATATAAAATTATTAGCCCTTTCCTTATAGATTTTCCACTAACGTTTTTGTCTTTGAAGAAAGTGTTTCTGAAGCTTGCTTACTGAAAGGAACATGAAAATGTCAATTGTTGAAATATTTTAAAGTGTTACTTTGAGATTATTCCAGTTTACTTTTTGTTGTCTTCCTATACAATTGCTGTTTTTCTGAGTAAACTCCAAGTAACCCATATTTTCAAGATTCTTGACCTAAGGCATTTTAGTAGTCTTTTTGTTTTGTATTGTTGGGTAAATGAGGATGTCTTTGTTAGCCAGTTGAATAATTTCCTAATGCTCTTTTTTTAAAGTAAAAATCAAAGTTGTGTTTTAAGAGACTGCTGTGCTGGTAAGTTTGAATGAGTCTCCTTAGCAGTTACGTGGTTACTTAGGTAGAGCAGCAGGAGGTTGGTGCTGTCATTTGCTGTGTCATCCCAGTGCATCACAGGAGTATGGGCTGCACTATAGTGTGTGGTATCAGGTGGCGGTGATTG